AAAAAACATAGAGCTAAACAGTAATCGTATTTTATAGAACTGAAAGAGTCTACAGTTTTGTTTTCATTCATCTAAAAGAGTTTCTTCGATAGCAATTATTTACTTGAAACAATCTGGAACTAAATAATTGAATTCCACGAAACTGAGAGCTTTGTCAAAGTTTACTGTCGTCGTGCAAGAAGGAATTCTTCATCCCCTTTGTCGATCTTAATAGCGACATTTCAATCGATACCATAAATATTTATTATCGATGCAATAGTGATTGATAACAGTTTACAGTTGCAAACAGTGTTCTCATTAACAGTGGTTCTAATCCTATTAATTATTACAATTCTTTTTCAGATAATGTTCGCTTGGATACTTTTCGGCTTACTCTCCCTGGTCTCCGGCCAGTTAGATCTACCACCGCTAAACGAAGATTCCCGTAACAATTTCGGGAGACGACTTCCACCCACGGAAGCACAGTTGCAAGATATTTTAGCCAGATTAGATTTCCTTGGTACCGAAAGATGCAGTGCCAATGTGGCAGGACAGTGGGCCTACGAAACGGACGTGAACGAGTACACGCAGCTACAGGCGGTAAGTACAAATTATCCACCAGCATGTATTGTAATTTGAATGACAATTTCTGACCGAATTCGTGGCCGAAATATACCCGTATACGATAAGAGTTTTTTAGGCCTCGTGAAAGTACCGTGTAGGAATGAGATGATTACACAGATTTCTTATCAATTGACTTTCTCGTTGCTCGCTAATGTCACCAACCTACGGCCATGAATTCTGTTCGAGTTAATGCAGTCGACCTTGAATTTCAACCAGTCTAACGACCAGTCTGCCCATCAACCTACGACTTAATTAAAGCAGCAAACCAAACAAATTATTTTAACTCCGAGACTTCAAGTATCCGCGTTTCAATATAGGATATATTTTACAATGTAGATAAACAGGAAAACTGTTCACAAAGGGAAACTTTATGTATAAGTTATTTTATATTAAAAAGATAAGATACATTCCAGGTGTGAGAATTGTGAAAATCCAAACGCTTCTAAAGACGTTAAAAAAATATTTTTCTCACGATTAGACTCACTACGATCGATGAAGATTCTAGTCTTTTCTTTACAACGATCTCTTAAAGATTTCTTTTCGTCACTTTATTTATCTTTGAACATTAAGCTTAAATGACAAAAATTCAAGAAATTCTAACATATCGTTATCTAATTCTAGTGTTCGAAATTGAATAAAATGGTAAAAGAAAAATCGTTCGTGAAGTTTTAAGGGGAGTTCAATCTTCGAGATCATGGTAGATTTAAAAATGAAAAAATTTTTCCAATGTTTTCAGAAATGTCCGAATCTTTTTCAGTTTTCAACAATGAAAACAGTCTTACTTTCTTATCTGTTGTATAATATAAAATTATCTTTGAAAGAAAAAACGAACTTAGGGCTGTCAAAGTGAAGTTTTTGTGTTTTAAAATGAATTGAACTATTTATTTCGTAAATGTACATATATATTGAAAGTGGTGTAAATCCATTTTTTCCGAGGAAACATAGAAAACGAAAAATTTACGTAATATAATGCGAATAAACTTGTAATCTAAATCTTAAAATATCCATTTGTTTCAATCGATCGACTCAATATCTCAAAACAAGGGAAACTTGACTTACACCACTTTCAAAATAAATGGCCCAATTGTCAGAGTGATTCAGACTTCAAACTTCATAATCATGAACAGTGGGATTTCACAACAGTATTAATAAAATTTCGAAATGTTTCGTACAAGACACGTTGATAAAAATACATTCGTGAGGCTGGACGTGTAATATTCAATTCTGGACAAGTGTTCGACGTTTCTCGATGGCACTAAGGCCTCGACCTGCTCAACGATTCGACTCGTGAGACCGTGGAACGTCATCGCGGCTGTCAAGACGCGGAGAATCGCGATTTCGTCTCGTGTTTCTTCGCGAGGTTTTCCTCGGTGATGGCCGGCCTTTATTGTCCGCCGAGGGGCTAAAAACCTCCGCGGGAAATATTCCCAACCGGTTCCATTGTGCCATCGGTGTGTCTCGAATGATTTCGCAACGGTACATCAGTCCGGACGAACCGAGAACGGAAATCTTCAGCCTTCAACGCGAAATTCACTAGGCAGTCGCGTGATGCTAATGACAATCGCCAGCTATCCGTGCCTCGTTTCTTCATAATATTTTTTGTTATTCTTAGAAACTTAGGGAAACTCGTCTATCGCCAGTATGCGAACTGCTGTTAGACACGTGCGTGGCATTCTTCGACGTTGCTCAATGATGATACGCCTCTATCATTAATCCTGGGGGCTTTAATGCATTTGTGGGAAAATCACAAGTGTTTAGAAATGTACAGAATAGAATTTGTAAAATATTCAGAATCAAGTGTTTGTTTCATACGAGATGCTTAAATGCAAGTTTTTATGAATATAATTGAAAAAAAAAAAAAAAAAAAACTGAAATCAAAGCAAAGGTTCATTTCACTCGCTAACTCTAAGCATTCCTGAACTTCGAGCTATTACGTAAATTCTTACATGGACGGATGATCAATTTATCTTCTCTTATGCACAGACAGATGTTCAATCAGACAATAATCGAATCTTGAACGAAGTTCGAATATCAAACTTATATGTGAGAGTTTTTGGGAATTTTCTACAGAAGGGAACAAATGTTTGTTCAACATTATATATATGAGATTTGTGGGTTCGTTAGAAATTCTTTCTCAGAAATTCTAGGATCTAGTGTTACAATAAAACGCTAAGCAGATATTTTATATCTTGTATTCTATAGATTTTTGCATCTTTTTAATTTCCAACAAACGCACGAACACCACACAGCCCAGTCGTAGTTTCGTTTGAATGTAAAATAACACTCTATTTAGGTTCTACATCTTCAGCTGCGTTCGCTACGTTAATTGAAACTCCGAAGAATTTTCCTCGCTTCTCGCGGTTTCTATCGACACATCTAAAGTGAAAAGGAAACGAGGCGCTCTTTTACTTTTCATTTCGAGTTCCTCCACGCTATCTGAACGGCTCCCAGTGACCCATAAAAAAAACCCGTGCACACTTTCTCGAGCATACTTTTCTCCGTCGCCTTTGTCTATCGCTAATCCGAAGGGAAGGGTAAAGATAGCGACGTTTATCTCTAACGGTAAATACGGTGCTGGTTGATTTGCACTTCGAGCCAGTTCCGCACGGACGATCACCTTCGAGCTGATTACTACCTTGCTTTTCGACACAAGACTTGCATATTCTGACAGTAAACC